GGGACCTGGGATATTTCTGCCCTGCCATGAGGAGATTGCTCATTTCTTGGCTGTCACTCAGAGCCCAGCTCGTCACACCGACCGCGCCTGCAGAGACAGGCGGGCACGGGGCTTGACAAAGCTGCTTGTCACCCACTGTAATGGACAATGACACTACTGCCTAAAGGAAAACATTAATATTTCTTACTTCCTTTATTTTTTTGTTATTGTTTTCCTTCATCGGCTTTCACCCCCCTTCACTGTATTCCTTACATCTGGGAGCAAACTCCTGGAGTTAACTTCGCAACTGGTACATTTCATAAGAAGACTGAATTCCTTCTCCTTGGAATTAAAATGACAAAAGCAAAATTTCAAGTCCATTTATCACAGAAGAAAACTTGTTCTAGTTCTTTTGTTTAAACTACAGAGGACTGGAGTTTCATAAAAAAGTGACCAGTTTAAGCAGTCAGAAGAGAAATTGGTGTGAGCACCAATGCTGCTGAAGTCTAAGAAAATATCAAACTGGATTTAAGAAAATACAATACAAAATGCAGGGAATCAAAACACAAACATTGTATGAATTATCTGTGATGCTTCTTAGGATACAAAATCCAATGTAGCTGTAGAGAGACATACCCCTGGAAGGAGAAAATGCAAGAGCTTCAGAAGGCACAATGAACATCTCTCACTGAATTTGATACATAAAGGAAGTGAGACTTCCAAACTTTAAATGCACTGACTTTAAGAAGAGCCCCACACCTGTTTTATAGCAAGCAGGTACATAGGTCATCTTAAGATATCTGAAGATATCTGATATCTATTTTGTGTTTTGAGGAACAGTGTCTGCTGAAATCAAAATACGGTGAGCACTAGTGCACTCACACACACTTCCATATGACTCAAAGGACAAACAGAAGGATTAAAACCAGAAAGAAAATAATGGAAAACAGCTCTGTTCACTGATTAAGTGACTCATCCCTTGTTTTGAAGAGCAACTGATCCAGCAGTACTGGGCAATCTCCTTTGCCTGCAGGCCAGTAACAAGTGGCTGCCTTCTCCAGAAATATGAGCACGCCAAATAACTCCACAGTGATGACAAAGTTTCTGTATGATTCAGAGTGCAGAAGACACAAAGCTACATTCAACAATTCAAAACAAATATTTAAGGAAAGCCCAACTCTAACTGCCCATCACAGTACAGATGTGCTTTTCCCAGTGGAAGTCAAACAACTCTGTGCTTCTAAGTGAGGTGAAAACTTTAAATGCATCACTAAGTAAAAATCAATTTCATTCTAGCCCCAAAAGTAAAATCCCTTTTGCTGCGATAACTTCATTTTCATATTACTATAAAATACTCTAATTTAGATTTATAAGAGTTCTGGATTTTCTGAGATCCCAGCCATGGATTGTGATCTGATCCCGACACACCGTGTTTTGTCTTGCTCACAGCAATCAATATTCGACCTCATAAAGATAAGCACACCAAAATCCAGCACTAATTTACCACCCTTCATTTTACCAGAAACAAAACAGGAAGGCAGGGATGCAGACCAAAGGATGCTGGTAAAGAGCAGGAGCTCTCCCATTGCAAATTCACCCCCAGGGCATTGGATTCAAGCACTGCAGCTCCCAGGAGCTCGGACACTGCCACTGCCAGCGCAGGGAACACAACTGAAGGGACTGCTCAGAGATTCTAGCACACAGTCCTACAGGTGGAGTTAACAAATCTGGTTCTTCAGCATCTGCTGCAATTCCTTTATAGCCCGTGCTCACCTGTACCACAATATCCATCCCTTCTTTCTGCAATAAGCACTGGGTATATTTTGAATATTGTTTTCTCTCACTTATACTGCTCACAGACTTAACAGAAAGAATGTACCCCTAATCTTTAATGACCATAATTTTTCATGGAATTTCTTAAAGCACACAAAAAAGAAGGATTTTTAAACTTTCAAAGAGTCCATATTGTTTAACAGTGCTTTACTTATTAAAACCAGGAGATTCTGTAATTTATGACAACATGAAGATATGTCACAAAATATTCTATTAAGTCAGTCAGCTTCACCCAAAGTAGCAGAGGCAAGGGAAGTAATAGTTCTGGGAGCTCAGAGAACATGCCTGATGAGTTAGTAGTTGGTACCATGCATTTGAAAAAGGCTTTAAAAACATAATTCTGGCTGTAGCACTTGCTTATCATTTCCTATCACGAGTATATTAACAGCTAACCTTTGTCATCTGCACCAATTTCATGCTTGCCTGGTTTTTGATTATGAGATTTAACCACATTTCTTACCAGAACTTATGCTTCAGATTCTTAATACAAATAATTATCTGGGAATTGCTTGAGTACTGTTATAAATTCTGTTACACTGTTATAATTTTATTTAAAAGCAAGTATAAAAATCAAGTGTTTCTTAGCTCTCCATTGAGGATTTATTCAAATCATAGATAATAAAAACTAACAAATATTGTACAATCAACTTTCATGGATGTTAGATGTGATCTAAAGAAGTAAATAGTATTTTCAGAAACTAAACCTACTTCTATACCCCTATGAAATGTCTAAAATGTCTTCATACCTACTTAGTTAAATCTATATATTCATCTAAGACTTGAAAACACTGAATATTTCTTTATCTCTTAGAGTTTGAAACAAAAAAAAAACATGCCAAACAATAGGATATTTTGGGGTTTAATGGTCAAGGTAATACAGAAATGTACTTTTTTTAATTGTGAATACTGCATTTCTTCCATGTAAGAAAGATCATTCACGTTTGCTGCCTGTGAATTTTTCCAATGAGATCTGTACTTCTTTAAAGAAGGTGGGAAGAAAAAAAGTCACAAACTTCTCCATTTGTGTGATAGCTAAAAGTCCTCAGGGCACTGAACACAGCAACAGAGATGCCACACTCTCTGTAAGACAGTTTGGAATCTCTTACCACTCTTACATTGCATTTTTATTCTTAGAGGAAAGGTCACTGAACCAGCAGCTGCAACAAAACCTTCCAGTAGAAAAAGAATGACATTAAATAGGGTAGGGTGTTTTAACAATGCATATCATGGTCTAAAGCACGCCAGTTTCAGTAATATCCTGCCTCTTTTTTTCAATATAACTTCTCTTTACCTTATCCTTGAACTTTTTTGTTCTAGGACATACAATATCAGTATCTTGGGAAATCAAGCAGTAATTGCAAAGCTAATAATAGATTTTGTGCCTTATTATGTATAGTTTTAAATAAAGTCCTTACAGAACAATACTTTTAAAACAGTTCATCTTGATACATCAGGACAGTTCTCAAAGTGCCTGTTTTGATATTTCTGATTCAAGCAGTAAAATATCCATTTCATCTTTCAGTCTGGAACACAAAACCTATAAAGGAACAGTTTTAAGCTATATTTTTGCCTGGTTGTTGAATAGCTGTTATTGTCAAATGGGTCTGAGAACAGCATTTTGCCACATCCTCAGAAGTAGAAGTAAATACCGGATAGGAGAAATGCAAATGCAGGTTTACCATGAAATATGTTTTGTTATCAAGCATATTCAAATTGTCTTTAAAGACAATTATTTTCTCTATCTATAATCTTAGTAAATATGGCCTGGGTTATTACTGTTACCACTGTGATTTGCCACAGTCACAGTATACCTCACTCCCATTCAGTAAACAAAACCAAACCCCACAAACAAACCTAAACCCACACAAAACAAGAAACAAACCTAAACCCTTATTAAAATTATTCTCTTAGTCTACAAACTGCTGGCATCCTACCTGTGCATTTACCCAGAACCAGCTGAATGAGACAGAGCATCGCACTGGGAGAGACAATGCCATGTATCCTCAGATGGAACAAACTGCTCTAAGTTTACCTCTGCTATTTGTCACAGGCTCCCTCTGCTCTGTTGTACTTGGACAGGCTTTGCTTTCTTCTATATGGGTTTGTAATCTAAATCTTAGCATAATCACCATAAGTTTTAGAGCTTGCTGTCTCCCTATGAAAAAACAGAAAAAAAACCCGAAACACAAAAAAAAAACCCTCAAAAATCAGACACCCAAAACACCTGACCTTTAGGCAATCAGCATTTTATTGCTTTCTTTGTGGTGAATGAGGAGAAGTAAGATATTTTATATCACCTACTAACGTCCTCTCCATTAGCCAGTGCCCTGGGTACAGAAAACTTCAGGCTCTGTTCATTTCTGTGCCCTTTTTGGCAACAGCAATAAACAGAATTTTTTCCATTCACAATACTTAAGAGTCTGATTCTTTAGGTACAGTTCCTCAGAGCACAGGGATTAAAGTCAACAGAGAAGCCGTGCTGTGAACTTGTGAAATAGAGCCATGTCTGTTCTAGAAATACAGAAATTCTGATGAACATACCTGTCTGTCACTGTTCACATTTTGTGTACACTTCATGGTTATTGGGAAATATCTTCATAGCAATATTTCAAAGCACTATAACTGATCCAAGTGCATGCAAGTTTGTGACATTTTATAAGACAGCTGAACTTTTAACAAGTGTTTCAGTGGAGTTTTGTTCACATTCTAGAAGAGTTGTCCATTTGCAGTTGAAGCCCACCCCTGCATTCCTTCCAGAACCAAATCTCAGGCATCAGCTACTGCCTTTCACAATTAATCTCTAACCCATGGAAACATTAGTTGTGATGTGCTGTGCTTTATTAAAAATAACAAGCTATTGAACATTTTAAGTAATTCCATAGAAGTGTTTATAGAGAAATCATACACATGAATTAGTTGAGTTTAGCTGGTTCTTCTTAATCACTGTAATATATGGTACAAACCCAGGTAATCTTTAGGCAGTTTGAAGACTGTACCACTGAATATGAAACACACAATTCTGTAATGCAAGGTTCCAGAAGCTGCCTTTAATTGGTCTGGACACTGCAAATTAGGGAGCACAGTTTGAAGGCCTTTCAGGCATTTCTCAAGATTCAGAGGCTGGTTAAGACACTGGTTTCATGGTAAAGAGTAATCAGGATTTCAGTAAGACAAAAAAAGCCATTTACCTGAAGAAGGTGACAAAGAACTGCACCAGATCCATGATAGTATTGTGCTGTGAGAAAGCAATCTGCAAATAAAATAGAAGTAAATTACAATATTGTCAGACTCAACAGCTCTTTTTAGGTGAGGGCTTTATGGCTCCATGGATGATTACTTTCAAGTGTAATTTCAGTCTAGTCTGCACACACCTGCATTTACGATAAAGTGAGATGAGCAACTAATTCCCATATCCTTGCAGGTATCAAAATACAAACAATGGAAAATAATACTTTCACTTAAACAAAAATTAATAGAAATATCCACTTAATGAACAATTAAAACAATATGAAAAATATTAAGAAATCATATTGTTATAAATTGTCTTGTTTATAGTCAACTGTTTTGACCAACACCATCTTCAATTTTAATAACACTGAAACATGCTTTTAGAGAAGACAAACAACATATAGTGCTTAAAATTAATGCATTTAAAATATTTTAATTGTATAATACCAAAATTAATGCATATGTTAATTTAATTTTTAAAAAAGATAAATCTGGTGCATAATAAAACAGTTTCAAACAAATTACTTTAAAGACAAAGTAATAAATATTCTTTTGGGCTACATTTTTACAGCCTCACCAGAACATGCATTAGTTCAGCTCCTTGCTATAATTTTTGTGAAAATTTAAGAATTATCTCTAAGACAGCATAGAGACATTCACACTTGCATGCAATACAGACTATAGTTATTTTTGTAAAGTACTTTTTGCAAATGTTAAGAACAGCACTTAATATTTATGTTATATCTACAAATATCCATAAGTCCCTGTCTTGCTCAGTTTTTCCAACTACAATTATCAAACTAAAGATACAGAGAACCTTCTACTTTGAATTATACAAAGTGTCTATCTAACTATATTTACACTCCTTTCAAATAATTGCTTGGTTTAGAAATCTTTCTGCATTTAAGATCTGATCTGGACTAGTAATTACCCCAAAGTACTCTGAATCCCTTTCATAGCTTACTTTTGAACTTTTGAAATGATAGCTCATGATACTCAATTTATTTTTATTTTTATTTTTTTTTAATTGTAGGCCAAAGCAATAATGTAAGATTCAGTAACAATGGTGATAATAATGGCCTTGTGCCAGCCAAACACAGCTAAACATAGATCAATTACCTAAAAGATAACATCTGAGAAAGGACCAGAGGACTTCTTTGGCCCAGTATAAAGCACATTCCAAGCACAAACAATTGTTTAAGTACACCTTGAACAGAAATGAAAGCTTTCCAAATTCATTTTTCATATTTTAAATGCTGTCTGGATTTACTTCAAATACTGTTTAGTATTCAAATTTACTCCTGATGTTTCCAGAATGTTTTTCACAAGTACCATACTTCAGGTGATGAACTAGCACAAGGACAAAAAAATTCAGCTTTGATAGAGTTCACTTTCTGTGACCTGTTGAAATGCTCTTTATTGAAGGAGCATTTAGATTTTGCATTACAACAATTGTTTTCATTCAAGGTGTAGGAATCCCTTAACAGCCTCTGTGAGTCTAGAAACAACTCCAGTCTGCAATCAAACCCTGCAGTCTGATCACAATCATGCCAGGAAAGTCACCTCAAGTTTTTTTTAAGAAACTATAGCACCTCTATTTCTCTTTTCCAGCACACAACAAAAATGGAGTAAGCAGATTAACAACATTCCAATGATTTTACATCATTATCAATAATTAAATTATCTGCAAAGTCTAAAGCTCAGGAATAAAAAGTTTTTGCACACAAAAGGAATGATTCCATATTTTCCAGCTTCTATTAATCTAATCATCTACTCAAGATAAGTGCAATGTTCTACTGCTGGAGTCCATGTTTGTGAATTTAAGGAAGAACATCTGTCTGTGAGACTTCCTTGGTTGTTTGTATGGGATTTTCCTGAAAGTACTCGTACTTTAAAGCAGAAACACAGTTAGACAGAAAGTTTCATCCCAAAAGTAATTTCTAATTTTAATCAAGTATCTTCTAATAATTACATTAGAGTTCATGTTTAAAAGATGAACTTCAGTATTTTCTGCACACTATCATGCATCTTTGACTAATTTCAACACAGAACATTAACAAAAAGAATACATATTTTAATCATAAGTACACCACAAAGAAGCAAGTAATGTCATGAACCTAGGACTGATACAAAGAACCATAATACAATTAAAAAGATTTATTTCCATTGGGGTTTCACATAGATATGAATGTAATTGTCTTTTTGCTTGTGCCTATATAGATAAGGGACAAGAAAAGAAAAGTTCTTTCAACCCAAGGTTTTCATATTGGACTTAAAGATATTGGAAACAAATATCTCCTTTGTTAATTTGTATCATACCTCAATAATTTTCAGTTTCCCCAAAACATCTAAAAAGCTTGTGGATCCCACAAACATCTCTGTCTTCTTTTATAAATGAGGAAGAAGATAAATATCCTTTCTATCCTTTCTTACAGAACAGAACAAAGTGTTGTGTGGAACATAATTTCTTATAGTAAAGAAAAACCTCTATGACTTATTGTTATTATTATCATTACTGTTGTTGTTGTTGTGAACTGCAATTGTATTCCATCAGATCAAAGTAACCCCAATATACAACAGATGAAATGTAGAAAACTGTGACAGAATGAAGAGATTCCAAAGCCAAATGTGGGGTTTACATATAACATATAAATATATATATATATTTACACATGTGCTCCAGCTGAATGTCTTTAGAGAGAAATTTAGAGAGAAAAGCCTATGAAGAAAAGGCTGATGAGTGACAAATGAACTGTGGGGATTCTTCCAACAGACATGTATATCTTTTTTTCTCTGGCACATTAAAGTTTTTAAATTTATAGTTTTTAAAAAAGCAAGCAAACAAACTGTTTTAGCAATACATGGCCAGATTGGAAGACAGGGCATTGTGACTGCTGGCAAATCCTCTACAGCAACTAAGGATTCAAAAGTCAGATAAGCAGCAGAATAGGCCAGAGAGCACCAACACAAGGTTGCACTGCAATCAACATTTCAATGCATGGTACTTCTTAACTTTTCATGTTTTGGTTATTGACATGATGTAGGAAATGCACTTTACAGTGAATAATGCTTAATGGAAAAGGTCTGTTGAAAGAGGAACTTCTGAACACTGATTTTTCCAGCCCTCAGAAGTTAATGTCTGCAGGAATGGATTCATTTTTCCCATTGCTCCAGTTCATCTTTACCTTGACTATCACATGCAGCAGGAATAGAGTCCTACAGAACAATAGGTCAAGATCTGTTCCGCTACAAAAATGAGACAATCTTGAAAGTCTAACTCAGGCACAACTTTCATATGGAAATAGAAAGTGTGCCCTTACAACTTTTAAACTTTTAGTTTAAAAATATAGGTGTCAAGAAGCCATCTCCACAATTGTAATGACACCAATTGGGGAAAAGGAAAACTAGGTACTAAATCAAAACTGCACATTTGTACAAAAAAGGAACCTAATCCATGAAAACGTTTCATATATTCAAATAATGTACACAAAAAGTAATTGTAATCTGTGCTCCATTTCATGACATTACCCACTAAAGCAAACTCCTATCTGCTCAGCCTCTCAAACTATGAACAAATACTTCCGTTAATACAATTTTTCCATCTTCCACCGTTAACAAATTAAAAATGAACAAATAAGAGAAACTAAAATAAATACATTGCAAAACTCTGATAGAAGGTCTAATTATTAAACCTGGAAACATAATGCAATAAGGTCAGACATAACCCAAACTAAACTGCCTGGACTGTGTTGATTATGCAGACTTAAACCCTGCAGAATTATTACTTCCTTCAGTATCATCAAAAACGTAATTTAATTTCTTCTTGGATAAAACTATTACACACTCCCACACCGGTGCTAGGTATGTACTGAATCAGGAGAAATGGATACTGACTGAACATAAAGGCTGACATATTTTGGTGTCCATTATATTTCATATTTTCTTGAGGGACACTTTCTGACTGAGGCAACTTCAGACAAAAAAAAGTATGAGAGTCAGCTGAGGAAATTACTTGTGTAGGTGGCTGTATTTTTGTGTATAACTTTTTTTATAAGGAAAATGTAAAAGATTACACGCTGTGATAATATGGAATGAGAATGCTGGAAGATTTAAGCCCATAAATTCTCACATTTACATTTCATTGTACAAAGTGAAGTTTAGATATCTACTCTGCACAAACATGACTGCAGAGACCCACGTCTAAACTGTTTTAAACACATTACTATGGATTACACAATAATTTTGGGGTGGGGAATGGTACCTATGGATATCTTCAAACACAGTGAATACATGACTACTGAATAATCAGTATTTACAAAGGAAAAGATATTCTGATTATTTTGTTTAAATATAAATACAATTATAAGTACAATTATATCTTGGGATATCTTTAGAGAGAGCAAAAATTATTCTGACTCTTCTTTCACATTGCACTTTAACAATGAAGAGAGGCCTGCAAAAGTGAGAGATGGATGGAATTAAATTGTCAGTTTCCCAATAGAAATATTTAACCGGCAAAGCACAAAATATATTTTCCTTTCCTTTGGAAAACAAATTCCACTGGAACGTGGTAAGGAAAGGACAAGATTACCAACTAATTACATCTGTCTAAATAAGAGAAACATTAAACTATTGGAGGCTAAAAGTGCCACACATTTATTCCATATATTGGCTTTCCTAGAACTTGTAAAACAAAATTTGAAATGTACCTGAATTTTGCCATGTGGAGTACATCCGATCTCATGCCATGTGTGAACCTAGTCTAAATTAGTCAGCTAGCTTATAAAAGTCAGCAGATAGGAAGGCTCTTCTTAGGGGAGTGACTCTAAAATAGATGTGGAAAACTCTCATAAATTGTGAGGAACCACCCTATGGAGCTGCCATTTCTCTCCACTAACAACACTGGGATTTTGTGATTAGTTTAAACTATAGACCTAATATCAAACTCACACTATAAATAATTTTAGGTGAGATAAATTTCTCCCGTGGTTTGTAAGTACTCACTGGGTATTTCTGTAAAAC